CGTATCATATTCTAAATTTTAATCTGAGTGGCCAGTTGTTACCTGGGCTCAATTCAAGGTTGTGGTTTTATCCTTTAAAATCACAGATAATTTAGAGCAAGACTCTAACTAAATGGATCCAAAGTAATATTAGTGGAAAAGCATTATATCAGTAACATTATGCAACTTGCTAGATGTTGCATAAATATAAGCAGAACGGCTATCCCATATATAGCATATGCAATGCTTAGCAAAACGAAGGTATAATATACTGTACTTAAAAAAATGTGCATGAAGGACCAAGCGGAGAGGGACAATATGGAAAAAGAAGTTTCCTTTACTTTCCCCAAACCAGGAAAAATGGAGCATGTAATACTTCCTAATATTTTCTTTCTAAAAGAAGAAAGAAATAGAATAAGAGAAGCATGTATTTATATAGCTTTGGGGTTTTTTGCCACTTTTTTCCCCCTGAAATTAGTGAAGGACAAAGTTCTGAATAGCATGTTTCACAATAGATTTCGGTATCCAGCAACAACTTTTGCCTTTCCGCTTCTCCTAAAAAGCCAAAAATATATAAGCTCTATTCCTTAGAGTTTAGCAGAAGCTCCATTTACAATAAAACTAGGAGCATGTTCTAAATAAATGCATACTTGTCTAAATAAACAATACACAGTTTTACAAACTAACGCTTTCTAGAGCAAAAATAAATATTTTATAAAATAATAAAACTATTATACAACTACAAAAGGCAAACGCATTCATAGAAACCAAGTTCTCATCAAACTCACTAAATTAATATCACAATGCAAACTCTACCCTTAACTGTATGCACATGATGTACAAAACGTGCAACACAACCTCACTATATTTGTTTCATCTTTTGTCCCTGCTTGGCACTCCAGAATGCCCATGGTAAAAAGTACTAATATAAGTACTTTTTTATATATATATAGTAATTACCAAATCCTTTATTGTGGCCCCAAGCCTCAGGGAAATATTGCTTCAAAATTTCCAGAAATTAAACATCTCTAGCATAAAGGGCTTTAACAAGTAATCCAGATTGTGCATTTCATTTGATAAAAATGGAAGATAGGAACATGCTACTTTTAGCTATCATCATTTTATGTCATTTGTATGAAAATCATCATTTATTATTTATACCAGGCTAATTTTACACTGGGCACTACAAAAAGATTAAAAAAAACCCCAATGTTTTCTCAAAATTCTAATACCCCTCCATAGTCCAACATTTAAAAGAGTTTTTCTGTACCATTCCAACATGAATGATTGTTTTCATGTATCCTCTACTATTCCTATTATTAAACTAGCCTTGACAAAGATATGGCTTTGCCTATCTTAAGCAAAATAATACAAGGAAGGAAACCTGAAGGTAAATGTTAACATGAAAAAAAACATGAAAGCAGGAGACTTGAGGGGAGATAAACCACAAATAAGGGGATAAGGGGGAATATCACTTACAGATCCCTGCACACATATCTTTGAATTTGGAATTCTGCTTTTTATACAGGTGGTTCTCAACTTACGACAACAATTGGGACCAGAACTTCTGTTGCCAAATAATGTGGTAATAAACCATAACCACATAACAATCCCTTCAGAACTGGTTGCCATTATTAACTGAATCCCACAGTGGTTAGACAAGGCAACTTCCTACTGGATTTCCAACAAGCTAAGTCAGTGGGAAGCCCGCAGGAAGTTTCAAATTCCAGGCTGGCAGGCAGATAAGTGGCTGCTGCCAGGTAGGAGGGAATGGAGGGAGGGGCAGGGATGCAGGAGAGGTTCAGGGAGTATGTGGGGGGGTGCACAAGAGGTCAATGCAAGGCAAGAGGCTGGGGAGAGCATGCAGGTGGTGGAGACTTACCCCAGTGACTTGCAATCTTTCCTGCTGGCTCCCCCACTGATTTTCTGGGGAAGCTGGTACAGAAGGTTAAAAATGGTGATCAAGTGACTGCAGAGTGCTTGGCAACTGGTCACAAATGCAAATGGGTTGCCAAGCGTCAAGATTCGTGAGAAGTATTAGTATCGCTTTATAAAACCTTGTAAAACCATATCTGGAATACTGCATTGAGTTTTGGTCACCGCATTATAAAAAAGATGTTAAGACTTTGGCAAGAGTGCAGAAAAGAGCAACAAAGCTACTACTGGGGCCTTGAGCCTGTTGGAACCAGGCCACAAAAGTAGCAGGCGAGAGCACGCGGGCACATCCCCACTTGTGTGAGCAGTAGGCAAGTGTGTGATTGCCCATTGCTTGTGCAAAACCATCCCCTCCCCCCCCGCTACTCCACAAAGCTGGAAAGGTTGGAGAACTCTGAACTAAAACATGTGAAGAACAGTTGCAGGAATTGGGTATGTCTAGTCTGGTGAAAAGAAGGACTGAGGGTGACATGATAGCAGTGTTCCAATATTTGAGGAGCTGTCATAAAGAGGATGGGGTTGATCTATTTTCCAAAGCACCTGAAGGCAGAACAAGAAAAACAGTGATGGAAACTAATCAAGGAAAGAAGCAACCTAGAACTAAGGAGAAATCTCCTAACAGTGAGAAGGGCTTGCCTTCAGAAGTTGTGGGTGCTTCATCACTGGATGCTTTTAAGAAGAGATTGGGTAGTCACTTGTCTGAAATGATAAAGCTTGAGCAGGAGGTTGGACTAAAAGACCTCCAAGGTCCCTTCCAACTCTATTATTCTGTACTCTGTAAGATCAAGATCATATGATCATAGGGGTGCGGCAACAGGGACTGGTCATAAGTTATTGTTCAGCACTGTCATAACATTGAACAGTCACTGAACTAATAGTTGTAAGACAGGGACTACCTGTACAACAAAACAAACCTGAACTACTCACATTCGTATATTCTTTGAACTAGTCATTTTAAATCCAGCCCTTCTAAACCAAATATTTTCAAATTGTGACGTATACCTCAGTTGGGGAGGGACAGACAGGGTCCAGGGATATTTGATGAACTTTTTTGTTACGTTGTTTATTGCTGCAATAATCAATCTTTCTTCAAGTTTTATTATACAGGTAGTCTTTGTTTAACAACCGCTTTCTTTAGCAACCATTCATAGTTATGATAGTGCTGAAAAAGTAAGTTCATAACTGGTTCTACACTTATAAGTGTCACAGCAAACCCACTGTCATATGATTTGAGATTCAAGCACTTCACAACCAGTAGGCATTTATGACTATTGTAGCGTTCCGCGATTATGTGATAGCTATTTGCATGCTTCACAGCTGGATTCTGACAAGCAAAGTCAATGGAGAAGGCGGCAGTAAAATTGCAAGTTGTAGTTACATGATGTCTTACTTAACAACCATGGGTGATTTGTTCAACAACTGCAGGACAAATGAGGTTGTAAGTGCGGCAGGGTCACGTCATGTTTTGCACAACAACATCACTTAGCAACAGAACTGATGGTCCCTATTGTGGTTCTTCTGTGAAGACTACCTGTATTGTTTTCATTGTTCATTTTGTTCATTCTGGATTTCTAGTGATGTTATGTACATCAAGATTACACCAAAGGGAAGTGTGGTAGCAAGAGCTTTAGGAACCCTGTTCTAGTCAGAAGTCTGAATCTTAAGATCACACTGAATTTCATTATAACCTAAAACAGGGGTGCCCAACCCCTGGGCCACGATCTAATCCCAGGCCACAGCTTGTTGGTAACTGGGCCGCACAAGCCACAGGCGAGCATGCAAAGCTGCATTTGCACAAGTGGCGTGCGCACATGTGAAACTACCCCCTCTCTCCATCGCTGCTGCCAGTCTACAGAGCCGGAAAGGTTGGGGACCGCTGGCCTAAAAGACTACAGTTCCTAAATTATTTCACAATTTTTTTTAAAATCTTTTTATTAAATACTGATATTGCAGTAGGTCTATTTGTGCCCTTAAATAAATCTGCAGACTTAACCAGACATTGTTAATACATCGGTGGAAAATATCCAGCTCTCTTTAGAGCAAGCCAGCATGGTAGATGACAATAGATCATGGCAGTTGTAATCGAAAAACATTCAAGGTCACATTGTCCACCCCTGTTCTAAAGAAGAGGATTCTTCTGACTTGGTAAGTACAGGCAGTCCTCAACTTATGATCGGTCTTCTAGTGACTGCTCAAAGTTACAGTGGACTCCCCAGGGCTACATACAACACTGATTTAAAATTCTGACAGCTGGATGCCTCTCCCCGTGGTCACATGATCACACTTGACGCACTCAGTCTGTACTGTTAGGTATATGCAAAACTCATTGATTAAAGAATGGAACCACACCCAGAACATTCTGATTCTCCCTCACCCCCAGTGATGTTCACCCAAACCATGCCTTTCTGGGGGCAGTTTAGTACAAAACAAATTCTCTTGACTGTAAGTTTGCAATATTCTACAGCAGGGGTAGTCAACCTTGGCCCTTTTATGACTCGTGGACTTCAACTCCCAGAATTCCTGAGCCAGCATGGATGGCTCAGGAATTCTGGGAGTTGAAGTCCACGATCATAAAAGAGCCAAGGTTGACTACCCCTGTTCTACAGGCAGTCCTCAACTTATAGCCATCCATTTAGTGATGTTCGAATTTACAATTACACTGGGAAAAAAGTGACTTATGAACAATTCTCACACTTATGACCATTGCAGACACATCATACAAATTTAAGTGCTTAGCAAATGGCCTATATTTACGATGGTTGCAGCATCCTGGGGGTCCTGGGATTGTAATTTGCAACCTTCCCAGGGAGCTTCTGACAAGCAAATTAACGGGAGAAGCCAGATTTCCTTAATAACCACATGATTCACTTAACTATAGTGATTCGCTTAGCAATCATGGCAAAAAGGTCGCAAAATGGGGTGTGACTCACTTAACAACTGCCTTGCTTAGCAATAAAAAAATTTGGTTTCAGTTGTAGCCATAAGTCGAGGACTACCTGTATTCCTGATTTTTTTCAGTTTGTAACTCTAAAACATTTAAGAGCATTATCTAAGAAAAGAAAAGCATTACAAAATAAATTATTTACCTGCTGGTGGCTTTATAAAAGGTGGTGGAATTAATGGTACAATAATGGGCATGTTGCCATGTTCCTTTGATCCTGCTGGTAAGTCTGAGATTCCATTTCCTGTGGTAAGCCCTGGATAGCTTGTGTGTATATTGTATGATGATGTAACACTGTCTTCAGGTAATTTTGTTTTTGGCAAAGAGTTTTCTGTAAAGGAAAAAGAATTAATTTTAAAATGTATTACAGCTTTTGATCAGATACTGTATATTTATTGTTTGCCAACTTGATTAACAATTGAGTAGGTAATATACACGTATTTAGCCAAAACTATGTCAGGTTTTCAGGATGAACCCAATTTGTAGTTTAATATATCAGTAATCTTTCCAAAACTGCACTTAACAATAAAGCGCTCAAATAGGAAACATAACTCAGATCTCACATAGACCATAATCAGAGTTTGCAGCTAAACACAATCATAAACTTCATTAATCTTGCCCAATTCTACACTTTCAGAGTGAAGTCCCAAAGCTAAATTGGACAAGATCAACATTTTATAATAACATTATGTAGATAATATTTAAATAGTGAGAAATTAAATAATGTAAGTGCTCTATTTACAACAATTTAAGATACATGTGGATACATTCAGTATATACTTAAATACTTTAGTATTTAACTTCAATTATGTGTCTTGATAATAACTGCACAAATTATCTTATTAGTATGAAATAGATCTATTTTAACATAATGGTAAAGGTTTACCAAGATAGCTGACAAGCATCAATAAGGAAAAAATAATTATTCAGCATTTGTGTTGACGTAGAGCAGTCAACCAAATACTAAGAAACCTGTTTTCACAACTTAGCAAGTACACCAGTGCAATTTTCAAGCCTCCTAATTTGATTCATCCAGTCAGCAGTGATTAAATGCTGTAAAGGGGGAATCAGCATTTCCCAACTTGGGTGACCTTGTGATGTGTGGTCTTCAGCTCCTAAAATTCTTAGCAATGGCCATGCTGACTAGGAAATTCTAGGAATTGAAGTCCACATATCATTAAGTTGCTCAGGATGAAAAACACTGCTGTTGATAAAACTTTTCATTTTGTTACTTTATTAAAATTCAATGTCTTGGAAATGACATGTATTTGATTCTCTAATATTAAAGAGAACATAGCCTAATATTTAGAGAAGGAAGAAATTTCTATAAGAAGTCCAGGACAGTCGTATTTTGCTAAAATGAAGAAGTTGTTTAACAGTAGAGGAATGTGAAAGGGAAATTAAAAAGGGAAATCAAGAAAATAAGGATGATTGGGAGTTTATTCAAAACTACAATAATAGCTCAGATAAAATGCCTACTGCAGGGCAGGAAAAGTGCAACCTAGTGCAAGAGATCAGATGCCTGTATAATGAATTGTGTCAAGAAAGCTATTAGAGAAGACTTGCCCTAATGGGGAGAAACAAAGGACCCAAATTTATAAAAACAAATCCTTGGGAAAAATTCTGAGCAGCATATTGTTCAGCATTAAGATCAGCAATTTACAAATATATCAGAAGCAAAAAAGCTGGGTGCAGAGATGATTGAGATAAAGATATGTAAAGCAGAATTAAATGCAAATAGTTTTTTATAGTTTCCTTCACTGAGGAAGACACAGAATTATCTGATACCTGAACTAATGTTTTCACAAAGCTGAGTCAGATGAACTGTAGGCAACAGGGACAAGATGAGTTTTAGACCTTAATGACCTTAATGACATGTGAATGACAAGATGGGTTTGACAATGTGAAAAGAAACAAATCAGCAGATATAAAAGCTATATATCTGAGTATCATATCTGATGGATACATTTCTGGTCTACCATATTACATTGGTAGACCAGCAATGTAATGTTTTGGTTGCATTTTGTTACATTTGTTACAAAATGTTACATTTCTGATCTACAATAAACAAACAAACAAACAGGTCATACTAATATAATAAGGCTATCAGAACTAGATTATAAAATTATGAATGACTGCATAAATAATTCTAACCAGTATTTATGCAGATTTTTGTAGTCCCAATTTGGAATTTCAGTAAACTTATATTACTAATTTTTTTAAAAATGTTCCTGATAATTATAGGCCTAGCTAGTGTGTGTTCTGAATATATTATGGAAATGTTGAAAAAAGAGCATGCACAAACCATCATCCATTCATAGTCTCATACATGTACTTGAAAACCCAAATCTCTCCCACTCTTCTGAACAGATGAAAGATTAACCCATTCCGTATGAAGGAAAACTCAGCAAAAATATTACACATACACACATGTGCATGCACGTACACACATTCCATTCAAACTCCACATAAACATTTCTGGGAAGAGGCTTTAACTGTCACTCACAATACTCTCTCTCCACTATTAACAGAAACACACAATGAACAATCTTTTCTCTATTTCATACATAATCTCATTGCTAATTATAATATTTTTCAAGTGCTAAAATAGTATCCTGCAGAAATCCAGCACACAGCCTTCTCAGAACTGGTAGTTTTAACAATTGAACTGGAAGATGCATTAAAAGCATTCTATGGTCAATCATAGAATTTGCTCATAGTAGCTACCAAAGTGGTTGGTAATATTCCTAAGGACTGAGTTGTCTATGAACAACTATATTTTAAGAAGAAGCAAGTGGTTAGCAGCAAAATAATTGTTCTAGGATCATGAGTTGCAACTTAGCACACAGCAATACCAGTTAAGAAATAAGGCAAAGAGCAGTTATAAATATTTTCAGTGAAGGGTAATTGTGGTTTATCATACATACTGAATTTAGGTTGGGTTTAATTGTCTGGAGTGTACATAATTCAGGAGTGTGTTAATGCAAGCTAAAGTATCAGTCTCCAAATGATTAAAACAACCACATCTTTTGCAAGTCTCATGCAGCTGCTTTAAAGGTCCTCAGCTGTAACTCCCTATATGTTGAGTAAATGTACTTGACAAGATTGGCAATGTGATCTATAGGCTGGAGCATTCTCTCCTATAAAATTACATTTAGGATGTTTTGGAGGGTCATGGTAGGGTTTATAATAATATTATGCACAATAATTTTATCACAATAATGCAGAATCATATATATGTGAGGTTGCACTGCTATCAATACAGGAACCAAAAATGGGAAGCATCAAAAGCAAAGTAATTGTGCTCAATCCTCCTTTCAAATTTTATGAACTAACTTCTCCCATAGCCTCAATTCTCCAGGAGATAATAGTGTATTATTTGTTCCAAGAAATGTATATATAATTAATAACCAATCAATACAATATTTTACACTAATACTATAAGGGCAATTAAGTAATTAGTTGACAATTAAATATGAAACCATAACATACAGTATATGAATTTAGCACATTATTCAATTCAAAGAGAAAAAGACAAACAGTTCAAGGAAAAGCACACTGAATTCAAGCGAGGGAAAAATAAAACAGGAATTCAGAAAGTGACAAAGATTTCAAAGTTGTTCATTCTATATTTCAGCAATATCTTGCTGAACAACAAAGGCGGACAGAATTTTGGAGGTTTCCTGCCATAAAAAAAGAGAAAGAGAAGGGGCGTTGGTCTTACCTGAACGCCTTTTCTCAGTACGGAGACGGAGACTCCACCAATGGGTTTTCTTTGTCTGCCTGCTCTTGAGACCAAGTATCCAAAACTTGTCACGCCCCCTCCTGCTGGTAATCCAGTCTTAACGAGGGCGAAGCGTTTGAAGATTGACGAGGCGTTGGCTCTCAGCACCCTAACANATATTGTTCAGCATTAAGATCAGCAATTTACAAATATATCAGAAGCAAAAAAGCTGGGTGCAGAGATGATTGAGATAAAGATATGTAAAGCAGAATTAAATGCAAATAGTTTTTTATAGTTTCCTTCACTGAGGAAGACACAGAATTATCTGATACCTGAACTAATGTTTTCACAAAGCTGAGTCAGATGAACTGTAGGAAACAGGGACAAGATGAGTTTTAGACCTTAATGACCTTAATGACATGTGAATGACAAGATGGGTTTGACAATGTGAAAAGAAACAAATCAGCAGATATAAAAGCTATATATCTGAGTATCATATCTGATGCATACATTTCTGGTCTACCATATTACATTGGTAGACCAGCAATGTAATGTTTTGGTTGCATTATGTTACATTTGTTACAAAATGTTACATTTTTGATCTATAATAAACAAACAAACAAACAAACAAACAGGTCATACTAATATAATAAGGCTATCAGAACTAGATTATAAAATTAGAATAACAGCATAAATAATTCTAACCAGTATTTATGCAGATTTTTGTAGTCCCAATTTGGAATCTCAGTAAACTTATATTACTAATTTTTTTAAAAATGTTCCTGATAATTATAGGCCTAGCTAGTGTGTGTTCTGAATATATTGTGGAAATGTTGAAAAAAGAGCATGCACAAGCCATCATCCATTCATATTCTCATATACAGTATGTACTTGAAAACCCAAATCTGTTCCACTCTTCTGAACAGATGAAAGATTATCCCATTCCGTATGAAGGAAAACTCAGCAAAAAGATTACACATACACACATGTGCATGCACGTACACACATTCCATTCAAACTCCACATAAACATTTCTGGAAAGAGGCTTTAACTGTCACTCACAATACTCTCTCTCCACTATTAACAGAAACACACAATGAACAATCTTTTCTCTATTTCATACATAATCTCATTGCTAATTATAATATTTTTCAAGTGCTAAAATAGTATCCTGCAGAAATCCAGCACCCAGCCTTCTCAGAACTGGTAGTTTTAACAGTTGAACTGGAAGATGCATTAAAAGCACTCTATGATCAATCATAGAATTTGCTCATAGTAGCTACCAAAGTGGTTGGTAATATTCCTAAGGACTGAGTTGTCTATGAACAACTATATTTTAAAAAAAGGCAAGTGGTTAGCGGCAAAATAATTGTTCTAGGATCATGAGTTGCAACTTAGCACACAGCAATACCAGTTAAGAAACAAGGCAAAGAGCAGTTATAAATATTTTCAGTGAAGGGTAATTGTGGTTTATCATACATACTGAACTTAGGTTGGGTTTAATTGTCTGGAGTGTACATAATTCAGGAGTGTGTTAATGCAAGCTAAAGTATCAGTCTCCAAATGATTAAAACAACCACATCTTTTGCAAGTCTCGTGCAGCTGCT